GTGGGTGGAATTCAGTGCAGCCAAACAATTGTTTGAACTCCACCGAAATTATAACAATAGATTGGGTTTGATGGTTATTAAGTTTTTTTTTTTTTTTTTTAACTAAAATTCGAATGAAATTGATTTTAAACGGTTTAGTTTTTAGTTTTTACGTCTAAAAATTAAAAAATCAATAAATATGATGAGCATAACAAAAAAAAAATCTAGATTTCTTTAAAAGGTTTTTTCACTAGTTTCTAGCAAGTTATTTGATTACTTAGGCGATTTATATTTTTTAATGATTGAAATTATTAAATTAATAAAATAATTATTAAAAAATTAGAACAATCATAAAAAATATAAGAATGATTTTGAAGTTAAACCAAAACTAAACCAAATAGTTATCTTTAAAAACTAATCAAAATTGATAAAAACAAACTTTTCCATTTGGTTAATGATTTCTAAAATTAAATAACCAAAGTTTTGGTCGATTAGGAATTTAGTCTCAGCTGCAAACAAAACCGAACCGTTGCCGTTTCCTCTCCTGTACCAAATATTTAATATAAATAGAAAAAAAAAAATATACAATGTACCCATCTTTAAAACAATTAAGGCTACTTGATTGGATTATAAGCTCAAACGATGAAAATAGAAGTTTTGATATAATGTGAACTGGGGAAGTAGAAATGACAAAACCAGAACAAAACTCAAGTTAGAACACCTTGAAGTTGACACCTCAAAACATCAGTTTATGTCGGATTTTATTTCTACCCTTTTCAACTGATCTACAAAAGCCAGTCCATGCTATGAACATAACTAAAAAAACAAAACAAGACATTTCTAAGCAGAAGAAGCCCAAGAAACAAGATATGATATCAAATCACTTCAAATCGACTCATTCCTCTTTTATTTTCTCTTCATTCTCCTCAATCAACTTCTCCTTCTCTTCCACATAACCAACCTCCACCGTCGGCTTCCCTGCGTCCACACTCTGTGATCCCGTCAACCTCGCCAACATCACAAAGGACATTCCACCGACGACATTGTTCAGGCATCTTAGAACCACCACTGATGTCTTGAATACCAATGGAGGGACAGATTTGGCCAAAACGAACTCAACACCGTTCAGGGTTTGGTATCTCAGGTTACTGTTGACTCCCATGTGGGCAGCCCAAGTGAGGGCGTTTAGCACAGTGGGGGGAGGCTTGTTGGGGGTTTCGAAATCGGGATCCATCTTCTTCCTCAACTTGATCAACCCATTTGAGATTGCAGTTCCGACTAATCCTGCAGCAAATCCAACGGCAGCGAACGCTGCTCCTTTGTAGACAAAGGTGCCGAGACGGTTCGCTAGGGAATAGGCGCCAGGCTCGAACATATGGCTTGTGGGACAATTGGCAAAGATACCCGGAAGACAGGATGAGGTTGCTGAGGCAGTAGGTGCCAAGAGGTACATGAGAATGAAATTGACGATGCAGCCGACTACAAGAGTGGAGAAAACAAAGTCAAGCTCGTTGAGGCCGAAGTTTGGACGGGAAGCCATATCGCCAAGAACGCAGGCGGTGACGCCGACCAATTCTTCCATGAGGACCTTGAAAGGGAACTGCGGATCCGCCGCTACCCTGTCTCTCCACCCACTTAGGAAAAGACCCAAAATCCCAAACCTACCCAACGATTTACCGGAATCAGAATCGGAATTGCCGTCTGCTCCCCATCCCCCATCGCCCCCGCCACTGCTGCCCCCTCTGTTACGCACCCCGTTGTTCCCATCACCCCCACCATACGCAATCTCGAGTTTAGCCGGCGACAGAGGATTGAAAATCCTCATTTGGGGAAGGAGGAGAGAACTGTTCTTAGGAAATGAAACCACATCAATCGGTTGTAACTGCACGCGGCGGCTCTCGCCCGTGGCAGTTGGTAACTGCTTGGACACCGTCGAGCACCGCAACTGACCCATTGAAGCCATCTTTTCCGATCAAATATACAACAAAATAACCAGATCACGGATTAATCGATCTGATTCACCAAACTCAAATCCCCACCAAACCCTGCAAAGATTTTTGCTTTAACATCTCACAAACAAAAACATAAAAAAAATAAATATATAAATAAAAAACCCAGAAAGATCAACAAAGAAAAGATCCACAAATCGGTAATTATCACCAAAAACCCTGCAAAATTTTTTTTCTCTCTTTTGAATGAATAAAAGATCAAGATTTGAAAGCAACCAAGAATTGGGGTTGATGACAGGAACCAAAATATGAAAGAAGGAAGGAAGAAATGTACCTTATAGAGCGGGACTTAGAGGTAGGCGAGATGCAGATTTGCTGTGTATACCGTGGGAGAAGGAAGCGGTAGGTGAAAAGAGTTGTTGAATTTATACGAGGAAAAGACAGGGTAAAGGTCGAGAGTCAGCACGGAAACGAGAGATTCTAAAACCCTAAAATTTGACTAGTCCAGACCCGGAGCCCTCAGCACTGCTGACTGTTCCATCGAGCGGCCGCCGGCCCACCATTTTATATCAATACTATCTTATATATTACGGATAATAATCTCAAAACCGACCTTAGCTCAGTTGGTAGAGCGGAGGACTGTAGTGGGATGATTACCTGTAAGCTATCCTTAGGTCGCTGGTTCGAATCCGGCAGGTCGGATTTGAAGGTACATGTATATTTTTTATCAACCCGGATTTTTACTTATTTTTGCTTTTGTTAATTTTTCCTCCTTGGTGCCAAAAAAAAAAAAAACATATTTACAATAGATATTATAATTATATAATATAATATTTCGTTATACAATTAATTTTGTTTACTCAAAAATTTACTTAATATTATATGTTATCACTTATTTAATGATATGTTATATTTATTTAATATCATATCATGATTGAAATTTCATTATAATTATAAATTTATAATTTTATAATTGTAACATTACTCGTTATAAATTTGTGAATAGCTTCATGTGAAATCTCATTTGTATAATTTAGGAAAAAATGAGAAAAGGTCGAAAGGAAGCCTAAAATCTAAATCCTTAAGGAAATAATAGTTACAATTTAATATAATATTATAAACTTATAATTATGGAGTGTTATTATATAATTAATTTTTTATTTAAAAATTTATTTATAATATTATATAACTACTTATTTAATTATATGTCATAATTGTAGTTATATATAGCGTTGATGAAAGCCTAAATGAGGTGAAGTCTTCATCCTACTCTAACCCAAAGTAAGGGGGCTAATATTTTGGCCTCATTCTTCCACTACCATGGA